ATTTGGAAGAGCTCCCTCTTTTTCTATTTCCTGAAATAACTTGAAAAGTATTGGTATTAATTCTTCTTTAAAGGTTTTGTAAAACTCCATTTATACACAATGGAGTATTACGCAGCACTAAAAAATGACAAAATCATGGAATTTGCAGGGAAATGGATGGCATTAGAGCAGATTATGCTAAGTGAAGCTAGCCAATCCCTAAAAAAACAAATGCCAAATGTCTTCTTTGATATAATGAGAGCAACTAAGAACAGAGCATGGAGGAAGAGCAGGAGGAAAAGATTAACATTAAACAGAGACATGAGGTGGGAGGGACAGGGAGAGAAAAGGGAAATTGCATGGAAATGGAAGGAGACCCTCATTGTTATACAAAATTACATATAAGAGGTTGTGAGGGAAATGGGAGAAAAAACAAGGAGAGAAATGAATTACAGTAGATGGGGTAGAGAGAGAAGATGGGAGGGGAGGGGAGAGGGGACAGTAGAGGATAGGAAAGGTAGCAGAATACAACAGTTACTAATATGGCATTATGTAAAAATGTGGATGTGTAACCGATGTGATTCTGCAATCTGTATTTGGGGTAAAAATGGGAGTTCATAACCCACTTGAATCTAATGTATGAAATATGATATGTCAAGAGCTTTGTAATGTTTTGAACAACCAATAAATAAATAAATAAACAAACTACATGTGGGCGGGAGCTGGTGAGGGAGCAGGGGACAGCGACACCTGCCTACTCTGAGATGCTGTGATGCACACTTCTGGCATCCTTCAGACAAAGGAACTGAGGCTCAGGGGCGGGGCCAGAGACAGACTTATTTATTCAAGTTGTCAGGGGTACTATGTATGCAGTGGAGCCCAGACTCAGTGACTAAAGCTGCCTCCCTGTGCCACACTGCTTCGTGGAATGATCGCAGTGCACTCCAGGACTGCTGGACATGACATATGAAGTTTTAACCTTCAAAATGTCTTCCCTCCCAAATTCACACCACCTACACTGCTGTGAGTCACTGCTTCAATTTACCCCATCACATTCCTATTAATGGTGGCTGTAGCCTAACAATTCTGTTGAAGTCAACACACAAGTATTACATGCCCAAGAAAATGAAAACATCAATGTCTTGCAAAAGTTTTATTTGAACAGAGTCACAGCTAGAGTTCTTATTTCAGTGTACAGACAACTCACAGTTCAGTGCAGGGCTTCTAATACAAGTCATATAAAACTGGAACATACTGAATATAGTGCACTCGATAGAAAAATAAATTACAGTTTCAAAGCTACTGCAGAGCTTTACACATATAAAAAGTAAACATAAAACAGTTAGTGAGGTCCTCATAACTGTCTACTATACCTAAATATAAAAAGACCAAGGGACTCTGATTAAAAAAAAAAAAAAAACACAACTTTCTGATAAGGAGAAATCCTGAGAAGTGATTGAATGCTATCTCAAGCAGTGTGGTAAAGGAGTGGCTTGCAGATCCTACAGAATCTCAGCTCTACCAACATGTTAACACAGCTGAGTTCAACTCAGGACAAATTTCTACCATCCAAACCTCCTAGGAAACAGAAAAAAATTTCTAACCTTCTTCTGATCATTCAAGAACCAGGCTTAAGTTTTTAAGAGGAAAAAAAAAAGGGACAAATAATCTAGAAATGTGCATTCTTCAGTCCGCAGAAATATCCAGGTTTTCAAACAAATACATGGCCAAATGCAAGACGAATCAAAAACTGGTGGATCTCACAAAGACTGCTGAGACCCACAACTGCATCTTGCCCAGCTGCAGCACAAGTGGATGAGGATGAATGTCCAGAAGCGCTGGGTGTCTCTAGGTGGCAGGTGATACTATGGAACCCCCCTCAATACCTGCCTGCCTCTGAGACAGACAGACATGCCATTCTTCAAAGCTGGCAACCAGGGGTCAGGAGCTTTTCGAAATAAACTTTACAGAACACAGATGTACTCAATTGTACTGCTGTCTGGGCTGCTTTGGGCACCACCAGCTGAGCTGAATGGCCAAGTATTCATTATTTATAGCCCTTTTCAGAACAAATGTGGGGACCCAGCTCAAGGGAAAACAAAGAACTCTACTTTTAAAGATCCTTAGAAAAATACAAAAGATTCTTCAATACTTAACTGGCAAATAATCCCACCAGCCAGAGTTCTGAAGGGACAAAGGGACTTAACTTTCAGGTCCTGGCTAAGAGAAGACAGAGATATAAGCTTTAACCCAAACTGAGAGGCATAAAGAGAACAAGCAGCCTAGATCCAAGCAACAACTCAGGGCTCTCATCTACACATGTCCACGGGGCAGCTGGTTGTACAAAAGTAAATAAAGCTAAAGACAAAGATATGAAATATTTTTAAAAAATAAATTTTCTTAAAACAATGTAAAAATGATAAACACACAAGGAACCTACTCACTGCTTTGGTTAGTAGTATCTCCTGAACAGCAGGAATAAAATAACCACAAGTCCCTCCTGTGGAGGAGAGAGATGCTACTGACAAATATTCATAATTAAGTTCTTGCAGGTTAGTTTGCAAATGCTGAGGCTGAGTCTAGAGCTATCTGCCAACTCTGTTGTCTTATTTTACAGCAGCAAGTCAATGCTCCCTCCCACTCCAGGGCTGTAACATGGCTAGGATTCTCCCCTGGCCACTCCCCCTGGGTAAGCAGCAGAGAGTCTGTTCCCAGCATTCCCAGTGTAGCACAGGACACAAACCACCAGGAAAGCCTTCAGTGCCCCGGGCTGCCCTCCTCCCACCTCAGCCTCTTGTTACCAGTTGTCTTCTTACCCAGGGTTATCTGCGGCCTCTTGGCCAGCATCCTCAACTGGTTCAATGTACTTCTCTCTTCTCAGAGAGACACCTCCCTTTCCCTACCTGTACATTCACAGACTTCCTCAGCCCTGCCTCCCCAACACCACAGCTCTCAGGGGGCAGAACAGCATGAGCTGTAATAGCAGCTCTGGGAACAGCATTAGCAGCAGATGTGACAGGAAACATAAGTGACAGGTATTTTATCTGTCAGAGCTAATTCATCATTCCAGTATTATTTTCGTGTTTACCACTTCATGCCAGGGCAAAGCAAAATTTCCTCTTAGCTTAAGATTCAAATGAAAGTCCCTATCAATTTTCTGACTGGAAAGCATACAGGTACCTGAAGACAAATGTTATATTTTCGACTATTTAATTCCTAAATTTTAGAAAATGTAAAATGAGGTCAATCTTCTGAGCCACAATGCCCTTCTAGCTGCTCTGAGGATAGCAGCACAATACTAACTTGAAGGGCATAGGGCTTATTAAGACACTGAAAATTTGATGTCTAGTCCAATGTTTCCTGGGTTAAGCTGCAACTGAAGAACAGCAAGAGCACTGCCAGTGAAACAGCTACGGGGAGGCAGCCAGCAAGGAGTGCCAACTTTCTCTCCTTCAGCAAAAATGTTTTGTGCAAAAAGTGGTTTCCAATCTCTACAGATCCCTGGAAAACTACAAGATTAAAAAAGAAAAAAAAAATTCCTGAGCTTCCCAGACACTGATGTGTCAACCTGAGCACATAATTATGCTACAGGAGCCCAGGAGAGTCCAGACTATGGAGTTTTAAAGATTATAAAACTAATACTCAATTACATATATATTATAGGGCAAAGAACTAAAAAACAAAGCAAATTTCAGGACATACAGCTTAATATAAGTCCTTGATAACAATGGATTACTGACAAGGTTCCTGGATGGTTTCTAGATCATCCTCATTCCCCAAGACTTTCCTTTAAGTCTATATAGTTTTAAAGCTAAATAAGTGTTGCTCCTGGGTGTTAGGGGAATGTCGATTACTTTTCGATGATTAGCATTTTAACATCCAGAATTTTTCTGTACAGGCTAAAAGGGATGTGAGAATTCTGAGAGAACTCTCTAAACTAATGCAAACTCCCTAATGCAGTATGACTTCATTCAGTGTGCTGGACAAATTTCATACATAGCAGGCATTCAAGTAAAAGAAAAATCCTCTTGCCCCCACCCCAGTTCTCTAGTTTTTTCCTGGTATTTTTGTTTTAGTATGTGAAAGCTCTGAATTTTTTCAGCTTTTATTATAAAGAGATGGAGGCCATGTCCAAATAGATCCTGATGTTGCAGAGTACTGGTGAGCTGTGCCTTCACAACCTAGTCTGCATTCCCCATCACGCCCAAGGAGGGACAGGAGAGGCCTGAGGTCAATGCCCAGGATCTATCAACCAGGAACCTGCTCCTTCCAGGCTGCAAAGTAAGGTACGTATGTGGTGCACAAGAGTGCTTCCTGTGGGAAGACAGGGCTGGAAAACAATTTTTCTCCCTCTAGTTCTTCTCAAAAGTCTATATTTTACCTTGATGTAAATTTGTAGTAGTTAGATAACCAATCCATAAGTCAAAAATATGGAGGACATTTAAAACCTTCTGTATTCTCAACTTCTCTTCAGTACTACTGTAATAACTATGAAAGAGCTGGCCCTAAATCTACCTACATAATATCTGCATCAATTTCCTAAATTCCTGATTTCCAGGTAATACATGGTAAAGTGCAATTTCTCTAATGGGCATTCAGCACAAAGAAGCTCTCGCCCCAATAAGATAGATCTAACAATTAGAAGGCTGTTGACTGCCAGAGACAGCCTTGCTATGAAGTCATGAACACTTACAACAGCTAGGTGGAACCAAGAGTTTGAAGGAAATGGCCAGGGGGAAGTAATTCCTTGAGTCAGGAATTTCCAACTCTAATAAAACTACAGAAAGTAAAAAACCAGATACCCTGATCTGGGCAAAAATGCAGTGGAAATAAACTTCTAGTTGGACGGAAAACGTAGCTAATTTTTTTTTCATGGAGTCTAATCTAGGTAAAGCTTTTTTACCTACAAGTAAAGGACAGACTCCTGATTCTAAAACATTCCAGGAGAAACGGATTCCAGGACAGACTGCTGGAGAATACTGGACATTCCAGTTATAGGTGGTAGTGGCAGCGGCAGTCCCTTAGAGCTCAGTTGTCAGTAAACACTTCTGCTTCAAGACTGTGTCTTCCACCAATGTTGGAGCAGAACTGAAAGGAAGAAAGTTTGGTTGTTCAGTGAAAACATTTGCAGGGGTAGAGGAATATTCACATCATATTCACATCTTCACCAGCTCAATTACAGATATCGAGGACAGATAACAGATTTAAATGAATACCTAATAATATCTAAACCTAACAATGAGATACTCCACAAATGGGAATTTTAATTTTTCTTTCTTTCTTAGAAATGAGAGATTGAACAAGGGGCATTCTACCACTGGGCTACATCCTCTAGTCCTTTTTGTTTTGATATAGGACCTTATACAGTTGCTGAAACTTGCAATCCTTCTGCCTCAGCCTCTCAAAACACTGGGATTATAGGTATATGCCACCATATGTAGCCAGAAGGAAAATTTCAAGGTAACTAAAATGTGAAATAAAAACATTTCCCCTACTTCCTTGAATGAAATATGCCTAACATACATTTAAATATCAAGAATAGTCCTGTGCTATGCATAAGAGCAGTACGCCCAGGAGATATCAAGAGAAGTGGGCTGTCCTGTGTGTTTTTTAAAAAACATAGTCCCAGGTGGCTATAATAATATCCCCACACCTGTCATCTATTTGTCAGAGATCTGAAAAAAATGGAAGGGTTTGCATGAGGGCCACAAGTCTCTGCTGGGGGTGAACTGAGCTTAGATACAAGGATGTACTGACATTAATTTAATTTCATAAAATCTTAATACAAAAAAATGTAATGTAAAATGGCAAAAGCACTAACAAGATTTAAAAATGAAAGCAGCAGTCACCCTTACCTCCACTCTCCATTCCTACTACACAAAAATGAATATTTGCAACTGTGGGACCCCCCACCCCCACCCCCCTGTATTTTCTTTCACTTCTCTGTATTCCAGGTTCTCAAAGAGTGGTCCCTGCAATTTGTTAGAAATGCAAATTCTTAGGCCCCACTCCAGATACAGTGAATCCAATCCGGAGGGTAGGGTCCAGTGATCAGTGTTTTAACAGGCCTTCCTCCAGAAATCCTGCTTCAGGACTAGAGAAGTTCTGACTGTTCTGAGTGATGTGTTTAAACAATGGCTTCCTATTATGAACTATGAAGCTTAATTTCTATACCTCCTTTACCACCCCCATAATCCTGAATTAACTTTCAACACAGTTATATGACCAACTTTATTATATGTTAACATACAGGATTTTTTTTGGTAATTTTGTAAATATTTTCATAATCAGGTATCAGTGTACTATATATATGTCTTTTGTGGAATTTTAATTTTCTTAGAATTGAATAACTGAGTCATTTACTGTTGTTGTGGCGACCACATATTCAATCTTTTATATGTATATGTACCCCTACTTCTTAGGCACAATTGTGGATCTCAGTACCTTCAAACAGGTCATGTAAAGAGGGAAAATTTGAGTGTGTTTTGAATCTGAAAAGGATTCCTTTCTAGACCTGCTGGGCAGCTGCTGTCTTCGAATTTCTTCCATCTTCCTCCAGGTAAATCTCTGCACATGTTTCCTATGTCGTCTTCTTTGTAGGATCAAACTTTTTTGATGGAACACCTTCCAGTAGCTTCCTGGGGAAACCACCTATCTACAAACATCTCTAATCTAACACTGGTGAGTTTTTCTGAATATAAAACTCTGGAGAAAAACAAATTCCCTCCATAATCTGAAGATTCTACTTGATCATCTTCTAGCTTGCAGAAACATCTGCTGCCATTCGAATTCCCAATACTTTTTATGTACTCTTGTCTTCCCCTCACTGGAAACAGATATCCTCTCATAAGTTTTATCTGAAGTTCCTGATGTTCCTCAGTGTGGTCTACTTTCATCTTGTGCACTGGGTACTCAGTGGACCCCTACAATCTAGAAGCTTGAGTTCTCTTCTGGGAACTCCTGATGCAAGTACAACTCTGGACTGCCCAGACCAGTCCTCTAATGTTCTTATCTTTTCCTTCCCAGTTTTCTTTTCTTTTTTTTAATCCCCTTACCTTTTGGGAAACTGCCTCAATCTTCCACACATTCTTTGGGTTTTATTTTTAATATTTTCTAACATTTTTAGTTTTTACAATTTTCTAAAACACAGTTCTTTGTTTTCTGTTTTTTTGTTTTTTAAATTTCCTACTATTATTGCATGGATGCAATGTATCTTTTCTCTAAATTTAGATACTATAATTTAGCAAGTTTTCTTCACAGTTGCCTTTATTTCTATGTTTCTTTTTCAGTTTACTTCATTTGGTCTTTCCTCACATGTCTGATAATCTCCAGCTTTCTTCTATTTCAAAGAGAAGGAATGAATGGTTGGTAGCTGCACGTATATGAATAAAAACTGATCGATTAATGAACTACATATATGAATAAAAACTCATTGATTAATGAACTCCTGGGAAGATTTCTGGCAGTTTCCCCAAGGGATACACAAATGTTGATATGTGTAGGCCTTTCCTCTTTGGTTCATTGCTTTCTTCAGAGAACAGCATTTTACTTTCTCACCTGAAACATCTGTACTTGGCCAACAGCATTCAAGAAGCTGCTATAAGAAGGAAGATGGAAATCTCACCCTTCAGTGTGTGTACTTTGAGTTAACCTGTTTTCAGCTTGGAGCTTTACAATGCAAACTCCCCAATCTAGAGCCTCTCTGCCTCAGCAAGAGGAAAAACCTCAGCATTATGCAGGGATGGGGGGATGGGGGATGGTAGATGGTAGATGGTGGATGGTGGATGGTGGATGGTGGATGGTCTAAATAGATATAAACACTTTCAACCAACTCTTAGCCCTACTTTACTCTATCACCATAAATATCTGGTAACTTCAATTTCTAAGCCTTTCCAGGTTCTCCATTATCAACTAGGCCTGTTTTATATTAAATTTCAATCTCTGGATATGGGATCCAGTCATCATTTTTAAAATACTAACACACACACATACACAAACACACACACACAAGTGCACAAATCAGAAATTTACAGCTTGATGACTTTTGCAAACTGAACACACCTTTATAATCAGCCTCTAGAATATTAAATAAAACATTATTAACACTCTAAAAGCCTCTTTAGGGCTCTCTCCAGTTGTGAACCACCTCAAGGGTAACCATTATAGAGCTGTGTTTCTTTTTGAACTCCATTTTGCTGACTTTTATTATGATGGGGGAACTCTAAAATGACCCCCAATTATCCCCACAGACTTCTATCCTGATATGCAGAGTCAGAGGGGTAAGGGAGCAGGGGAGGGAGAGCACACCAAAGAAAGAGTACCACTGGACAGTTTCCCTTATACTCTTGAATTATATCTTTTGATGAATGAAATTTCTTGATATAATTCAAGTTACTGTTTTTTTCCCTATATGATTGATTAAAGCTATTTGTGAGCTGTTTTTAAAAAATATTTGCCTATTCCAAGGTTACAAGGATATGCACTTGCTTTGTTTCCTATTTAGATCTGCAATTTACCAGAATGAATTTTTGTGGATGGTATGAGGTTCAGTCAAGATTAATTTTTCCCACAAGGGTAACTAATGTGCCCAGCAGATTTACTTCAAGACTATTCTTGCCTCACAACATTGCACCATCATTGACTTCATATATTGTTGGGTAACTTACATGTGTGTGGGAGGGTTTGTTTCTTGACTCTATTCTATTTTACTGATTTAATTGTCATCTTTTCTCTCTTTAAGTCTTTTATGATTACTTGGAGCAACAGATGATTTGGGGAAGCAACAGAGAAAGGTTCTTCTTTCATTTGTAAGTTTTAATTTGGAAGTCCTTAAGAACTCACACTAATTGTGTAAATTTAACTGCAATGCATTACCACCTGGTCCTTTATAAAAATATTTTTAAAAACTTTTTTTTGTAGTTGTAGATGGACAGCATGCCTTTATTTGTTTATTTGTACGTGGTGCTGAGGATCAAACCCAGTGCCCCACACATGCAAGATTAGAGCTCTGCCAATGAGCTACAGCCCCACCCCCCTGTTGAGATACTTTTATAGTGGCAATTGCTAGGCTACAAATGATTAGAAAAATAATCCATTAGATTTGCATAAAGTGGAATTTGACTAGATGTGAAATTCCCTAAGGCAGGTTCCACATCTGTCTTATTCACTACTATCTTCAATGCCAGAAATAAATAATGTCAGGGACATCACAGACACTAAAGTGTTTGCTGAGTGAGAAATGGTATTACTGAAAAGACTATGAAGATAAGGGAATGATTTTAAAGTCAACCTATGAATATCTTTCAAGTTAATCATCTCTAATAATTTCCCCTCTTTCTCAACACCAGGAGGATATGGGGAATGGCAACAACTAAGAAAAAGGTCTGAGGTAAGAGTAAAGGCAATTATAAACCTTTTGCAAAATAGGAACAGTTATGGACCTAGCAATCAAAAGTTGAAGAGCTCTTTTCAATCTAATTTGTAGCAAGCTAAATGTTGACATGAGCTACTTTGGAGCCCTTACCTTGGGAATTTCCTACCTCATACTGTACTTCTTCACCTATAGTGATAGACACTGCCATTCATCACTAGTATACAGTAGGAACAAGCATAATAGTAAAGAATAAAAGGAAAAGATATAAATTTAAAACAAATATAAAAATTTAAAGATAAACCTATTATTATCTTTATCTAGCAAAGACTTCACAAAGAAACTTTAATATAAAACTACCAGTAGTGGGCTGGGATTATGGCTCAGTGATAGAGCACTTGCCTCACATGTGTGAGGCTCTGGGTTCAATTCTCAGCACCACATATAAATAAGTGAATAAAATAAAGGTCCATCAACATCTAAAAAATATTTTTAAAAAACTACTAGTAGCAAGGAAAAAACCCCACTATGATAAACAGAAAAGATGTATCCAGTTTTATTTGTTCAACTAGAAGAACTGAAGGTTGAGCCCAGTGGCACTAGCCTGTATTCTCAACTACTTGGGAAGCTGAAGTGGAGAATCACAGGTCTGAGACCAGCATACGGCAATATGGTGAGACCCTGTCTCCAAAAGAGTTTCAAAATGGCTGGAGATGTGGGGCTCAGCAGTGAATCACTTGTACAGCATGCCTAAGACTCTGGTTCTATCCCCTGTACCAAAAAGAAGGGGGGGGGGGGGGAGAAGAGGAAGAGGAGGAGGAAGAAAAAGGAAGAGAGAAGGAGGAAGAAGAAGGAAAACTGACATTTGTTATTTTAAATCTAACTAACTATTATTTTCCCCCCAAAAGATGCAGTTTTTTAAACTGCAGCTGAGAAATAATTTCCTTACCTGGTCACAGCATCTACTAAGAATGGTGCTGGAGGAGAGATCAATGAAATTTCATCTTTACTACCATGTCCTTCTTTTCCTGCCAACAATGTTCCATATCTTCCAAGTCCATTAGAAATGGCACCACTCTGCTATGAGAGACACACAACACATCTCAACACTGAGGTAACACTGGGTCAGCACATCAGTTACATATCAACTTCACTAATGACTATGGCAGGGAGGAAGATTTGGATGTTCATGATTGCTTTGTTTTTTAAAAATTATCCTCAACCTCAGATTTTATTTTATTTATTTATTTTTGGCCACATCCTTAAGAATTGGCAAACAGAAAAGATTAAACCATGAATTTGAAGCCATTAAATTCAGTTAACACAACTTTGATAATGACCCAAATGTTTGTAAGAAAAAACAAGAACCTAGTGATCATTTAGACCTTGCCCTGAAAGAGTAACCAGAATAAAAATCATAACTATCATGAACTTACTGGAACAATCCACCGGGGTGTGATCATGGATGTTGAAGACACCTAAAACAAATTTTATATATGTATTTACTTTCAGGGAAGATAGATTTATCATAATTACAATACTTTTTCATATTATAAAAGGCATGTAGGAATTCTTTTTTTTTTTTTTTGGTGGTGCTGAGGGTTGAACCCAGGGCCTTGTGCATGCAAGGCACTCTACCAACTGAGCTATATCCCCAGCTTAGGAATACAATTCTTAATGAGTCCCTTAAGCTTATATGGACTTTCAAAGACTCTCTTCTTTAACACAAATCCCATACTATTATGGATTATATATGAGGTATCCCTCAAAAGCTCATGTGTGAGATAATGCAAGAATGTTCAGAAGTGAAATAATTTGACTATGAGTTGTAAATATGGAAACTTAGACTAGTTCTTGCACTGGTAACATTAGCTACTAATAAGAAAAATTTAAATAAGTCCAAATCTTAGTAAGTTAGATTAATCACCAGAACCAGAAACATACAAAGTATGACTTTCCTACCATATTAAGAAAATACAGTAGGGGGTGGGGGAGTGAGAGAGAATGAGAATAAATATAAATATGGTAAGAAGTAACCAAAAAATAGTTTGGCAGAACAAATCTTAATTACAGTAAATACAAATGCATTAAACTCAACCAGAGTACAGACACGTTAAGAGTTGTCAAAAGAGATCTGGCAAAATACTGTTCACAAAAAGTCCATTTAAAACTAGTAGACACAGAAAGATTAAAAATAAAAGGATAGAAAATTATGCACTGAGTAATACAAATTTAGTACATAATACTGGGAAAACTGGTCCTTTCTATGGATATACACAAAGTTGAGTCATCCTGAATCACTCTCCCCCACCCAATAACCCTTCAAACTGTCCAAATAGGTTTAAACATTAAAAAATGAAAGGAAATAAAATTATGGTAAAAATAGAATATAGCTCTGTGACTTCAAAGAGGAGGTGGCAATTGATGAAGAAAAAGGTTTCTGTTCAATGATGAGTATAAATTTATTTTACATATTATTCATTTCCTGAGTAAAAGATATAGGTTGGCTCCAACTCCTTAGGACCTATCACAAATAATACTGTGATAAATTTTCTTATGTATTATTATACCAATTAGAAGAAAATATTTTTTAATGTCTAAGATTGACATGGAATTGATATCTAAATTATGCAAAGAATTCTTCGAAAGAAAGAAAGGAAAACTAATAGAAAGATGAGCAAAAGATGAAAAGATGACTCAGAAAAAAACAAATCCTTAAAAAACTGGAGGAGGTATTAAATTTAACTCATGCAAATTCAAACAATGAGAAAAACTCATTCCTGTTAGAAAATATTAGAAAGATAAAGTGCGGCTGAAGGGAGAATGTGAGTGAAAGGGTAACACATGAGTACTGATGGTGGCAATACTAACTGTGGAAGTCTTCTGAGGAGCAATCAGTAACACCGAGTATGTTTATTTGAGCCTATAGCTCACTAATCCTATCTGTGGGCATATATCCCCCAAATCTCCCACATTCTTAAAGGAGACACAAATAATTGTGTTTATCTAAATAAATAGATGAAAGGCAGGCTGGAAAGACATATGTCATATACAGTACAATGAATGCCTCAGGGAAAAACAGGAATGGAAGTGGATACTGGAGAATAAAGGGAATAAAGCAAAATAAGCTCTACAAGAAACCTCAAAGGATAGTGTGGCATGGACTAACCGGCATGTCTAACCTAATTTGGGCACCTGAAATTTTAAAAAAATATGGATACTATCCCATTGGTCTCAGAGATACCTTCTTGTCATAAATTTATTTTGCATATTTACTCATTCCCAAAGTAATAGAATTCTCAATGCCTTCCAGGACTTTCTTCCAGGTCTTAGTAAAAATTCTTACTCTAGCTTTTAGGTTCTGCCTAGGCTCCTCACTGGAAAGATGGAACTTTATAATTTTAATTTTGAAGCTCCTTAAGAGTAGGAACTATAACCTAGATAAAAATATAATAAAAACCTTACTCTCAATAAAATCTTATTTTTTTAAATTTTTTTTCTCTCTTTTTTTTGGTAGTACTAGGTATCGAACCCAGTGGTGCTCTACCACTGAGCTACATCCCCAGTCTTTTTTGGTCCTGGGGATTGAACCCAGGGGTGCTTAACCACTGAGCCACATCCCCAGCCCTTTTATATATTTTATTAGAGACAGGGTCTCACTGAGTTGCTTAGGGCCTTGTTAAGTTGCTGAGGCTGGCTTTGATCTTGCCATCCTCCTGACTTAGCTTCCAGAGCTGCTGGGATTATAAGTATGTGCCACTATGCCTGGCCATCCCCAGGTCTTTTTAATGTTTTATTTTGAGATGGGATTGCACTAATTTGCCCAACCCAGCCTCAAACTTGTGATCCTCCCACCTCAGCCTCCTGCATAGCTGGAATTACAGCTGTGCACCACCAGCACACCCACTTGGTCTTAACTTTTTAAGTTGTTTATCCACATATTTTCTCTCATTTAATTTAATATGGTGTTGAATTTTAAATAGGCTCCTACGATTTCTATAGTGACATGTAAATTCAAAGTGGAAGAATTTTAGTACAAGAAAGGCAATGCTAAGTGGTTTCTGAAATACAGACTCTTATTAAATGAAAACTTTTACTAAATTGTTAAATAGGCAAAAACTAGAATCTAACCAGACCATTTGCAAGGCAAAATTCCTTCCCATCTTGCTGTTTTAAAACATATTTACCTGAGGTGTGACTGTGGGGTCAATTAGATTCTCAGTTAGAGATAAGAGCAAGGCATCCAATTCATCTGTGGCATCCTATATAAGACAAGGAATCTAGAATAGTTAAATGACTCATTCATCATCAGATTTTTTTTTTTTGGCCATATCTTCCCAATGTAAAATTCTGACCCACGCCTGGTTAGTATTAATCCTTTAAGCAAACAAGAACATTTGGGAATTCTGGTTATTAATGATTCCACTTCTCCATGGAAGGGAACACAAGACTACAAATCAGAACTTAAAAAAGAAGTGTTCTGTATATGTTCATATAGGTATTCCTTTGGGTGAGATACAACTTGGGTAAGGTTATGACTGCTCTGACTTGTTTTTTGTTTTTTTTTTTTTTAAGCACAAGAGACAGTCAATCAAAGAGGTCCCTCAATTCCAAAATGCTTCTCTGTCAAGATGTCTGGATGCTTCACTAATTGGAAAAGAATACAATATGAACTCTCTCCCCCATAAATGATAATAATTGTTGATTTTAATATTTGAGGCATCTTCTGTATCACACTGTGAGGGGAGGTGGAATTTAAAAACAATAAAATACAAAATTCCAGTCCAGTAATATGAAAAATAGGAACCTGCAGTATAAAGAACATTTAAAAAGGCCCTTCAAAAAATAAGACAAAATTAAAAGGCCCTTCATTTATACATTTTTATTTCAATCTATTTGTCTTCAGGCCTTCGTGAATCTCCTATTCCTATTTCCATACACAACTAAATTTTAGTCACATATATGAAAGAATTGCTCTTTCCTCTTTAAACTCTTTCCTCCCACCCCATCCCTTCCCACCCTGTTGCCTATGCTAAATTCATCGTAACAGCTTGTGTATGTCACTATCACTCTAGCACAATTCTCTCTCCCACTGCATCATAAGCAGTTTGAAAACACAGACTATGTTTCATTCATTTTCTAATCTGTAGTGACTAACATGCTGTCTGGGACACATTATATACACAATAAATCTTTCAACTAAATGTTCTTCTCTGTTCTAAAAACACCTCAGATTCCACCTAAGAATTCCATTTCACCAGGTAGTCAAATATCTTTTTAGAATTTTAATTAGCAAAAAAAGGAATTCCTAATTTTGAAGGTACTTTAGGTTGGGGTTTTCCACAAGCCCTAAAATCTGAAAGATTATATCCCTAAATATCAACCATACCATATCTTTTGCATAGTGACAATAAATGTGATATTTAGTTTTTCCTGTTCAGTAAAATACTTGGTAGACTTCTACAACAAATACACATTATGCAACAAAAGAGCAAAGTAGTGCATTAATTTGCAAGGACCATTTTAAATTTAACTTGCAAATTAAAGCATTCATGGGCAATAAAATGGGTTTCTGTAACTTCTGAACTAGTAAGCATATGACATGTGGACATAAAAAATGCAGAAGTTGAGATGAGCTGATTATGTCGCAATGTAATCAATAATTGGCACCATTATTTCAAAAAGTTTATTTCAACCAACAAATATTTACTCAGTGTCTATTAGGTGCCATATATTTTTTGAGACACTAGGGATATAGCAATGAATGGATCAAGGCTCTCTCACAGCTCATATTCTCCAGAACAAATCAGATACAAATTTCAACAAAAATCACCCATGTTTGAGATATATAGCTGGAACTCTTCCATCTAATAAGAACTTAAAAAGTGTCTATTTGCATATAATAGTGTATCTCCTCAAAAGGAAGAGTGAAAGCATAAACAGAATTCAACTCAATACTCCCTTAGAAAACTTAAAGAAGTATTCTTACCTTCAGAACAGAATTGCTATCTGCAGGCATGGTACACATCGGAGCAAGAGAATCTTTGGAGAGGAACACATTATTCTCATTTAATACAACACTGGAAAGAAAAAGATAAATTCAGATCATGTAGGACCTTTATAGGAAAAGGCAGGGTTTTTTAAGAAAAGGACTTAGGAAAAAAGAATAAGGAATTCATACAGAGGGAAAATAAATAACAACTGGTGAGGTACACCCAGCAGTCAGTATTATACGCATGTGCCTAACCTGTCCCCATGCCCCACAGAACAGCTTTTATACACAGGTCAGATTTATTCACAGCTGGATAAAAATAGCAGACTACCTTGCTTTCCCTTCTCAAATCTCACTTAAATGACAGAAAAAAAGATTTACCTTTTCCAAAAAGAAAAAATTCATAATGCCTAAAAACCTCTAAAGTCTGCTTTTAAGAGATGTTACAGCCTCCCCCCAAAGCCTCAAATCCAGAGAAATTATGTACATATTTAACTAATATTAGTTCCAATAATGGAGAGAACCAGAGAAAAAGAATAAATAAGGAGAGTATAAATATGACATAACTACACAATGAAGTATTATTTAGCCATAAAGTCTGGTAAAGTACCAATACATGCCACAATATGGGCTTTATAAGCATTAGAAGAATAAAAGAAGCAGACACAAAAGGCCACATATAATATAGTTCCATTTATAAGAAGTATCCAGAGTAGCTAAATCCATGGAGATTAAAAGTAGATTAGCAGGGCTGGGATTGTGGCTCAGTGGTAGAGCGTTTGCCTAGCATGTGTGAGGCACTGGGTTCAATTCTCAGCACCACATACAAATAAATAAAAAATAAAGATTTATTAACAACTAAAAAATATTTTGAAAAAAAGTAGATTAGCTAGGTGGGTGCAGTGGTGCATGCTTGTAATCCCAGTGGCTCAGGAGACTGAGGCAGGAGGATAGTAAGTTCAAAGCAATTTAGCAAGACCCTAACTAACTGTCTCAAAATAAAAAATAAAAAAGGAATGAAGAGTGGCTCAGTGGTTAAGCATTCCTGGATTTAATATCAGGTACTTTAAAAAAAAAAAAAGTAAAGTAAATTAGTGGCTGTCAGATGCTGGGGCTGGGTGGGGAGGGGAGGTGGAGAAATGAGGAGTGACTACTGGTAGGTGTTTCTTTTAGAAATGACAACAATGTTCTAAAATTGAATACTAGAAGCACAACTTTGTGAATATACAAAAAAACAATGAATTGCATATTTTAAGGGGGAAATTTTGTGATATATGAAATACATCTAAATTTTTAAAAGTAAAATAAAAATTATCTACTATAACAAAATCTTATGACAAAATTTGATATATGGTTCATAGGTATATATTACATAATTCTCCATGATTTTCTCTATGCCTGAAATATTTTTCAAAAGGAGTAATAAAAACAGGATGATATGCCATGAGGAGAAAGGCATTAGCAGAAAAGGAAAAGGTCCAGAAACAGATGTTAAGTTTAAAAGAGAACACACAATATTTCAAATTGTGAGGGGGGAAAATAGATTATTCAAAATATAAACAGCTACTTAGAAAAATAAATTTGGAAGGTGGAGTATATTCTAAGCTCTTTACAGCTTTAAGAGTTTAATAAGGGCTGGGGATGTGGCTCAGCAGTAAAGAGCGTGCCTAGCATGTGCAAGGGCCTGGGTTCAATCCTTAGCACCACATAAAATAAATAAATAACTAAAAAGGTATTGTGTCCAATTACAATTTTAAAAAAAAGATATTAAAAAAAGAGTTTAATAAAACTTCTGATGAACACAGGCCAGTCCTGCCCCCCTTTTCCTTCTATTTATTCTAAATACAACTTTAATAATGACAGTACTAACAAATGTTAGCACCAACATTTAATTTAGAGTAAATGAAAGGGATAAGCAGTAACATCAGTTTTTCCCTGATCATCAATTAGTATGGATGTTGAGAACCAACCGTAAAGTCTTAAATGTAAAGGATGATACACGCTTATACGCTATGTTGATTACAGCATGTGGAATAGAATGATTATTCAGAAAATCTTCATTGAAAAAATTTTGAAAATCAGAAAAGAACATTAATTTACCAATATTTTTTAGCACCAAATAAGAACAGATCATTAGATATACAGTGATGACAAAACTGGCATAAAACAAGGAATAAGGGGCTGGGGCTGGGGCTCAGTGGTAGAGCGCTTTCCTAGCATGTGTGAGGCACTGGGTTCAATCCTCAGCACCACATAAAAATAAACAAATTTAAAAAAAAACACAAGGAATAAAAGTCTGACAAGACAAGTAAATAGCATAATACTCATTGACAAGAAGCAGAAGAGAGTAGGAGAAGTAACAAAAAAATCTGTTTAGTTAATGTGAGAATCAATGGCAGGTAAAAGCACAAGGCCACTGTGATGGCACTAAGTTAACTGTGACACCCAGAGAAATGATAAGCATTTCACACCAAGTATACTATGAGATTCAAAATATTTTGAAAGATGTTCTTTTTTTTTCTTTTTTTTTTTTTTGTACCAGGGATTGAACCCAGGGGCACTTTATGGCTAAGTAATACTCCATTGTGTAGTTATGTCATATGTATGTTTTATTGTGAGACAGGGTCTTGCTAAGTTGCTTAGAGCCTCACTAAGTTGCTAAGGCTGGCTTTGAACTTGTGATCCTTCTGTCATACACCAGTGCATCTGGCTAAAGATGTTTTTTTATTCTATTTTTTTAAATTAGTTTAAGACAAATGAGAATGTAGGAAGACTAGGAGTCTCTTTAAATAATCTAAAAGTAGGTATTAAGTGGCTCTGTGATAGAAAAGAGTGAATTCAAGCTCTTTTTCAAATAACTATCATTTAACCACATAATGATAGATTGGGGAAGTAAACACACACACACACACAAAGGCAGCAGGAAAGGATCAGAAAATCAATTTACTTCTTTCTACCAAGAATCGTACCTGTCTATGGTAGCATCCTGAACACTGGCATTTTTATGACTTAATAAGCTATCTTCTCTTGTAACCTAAGGAAATGAAACCATAAAAAAAATTATCAGTTTGCTTCAGGCTTTAGTTCAAATAAGAAGTACCACCATTTATCAATACTATTCTTAATGTAATCCTATCCAAATCCTATCCTAGCCAAATTAATTATCAAAGACTCAATTTCAATATGTTTAGTATACACATTCCCATGCACTTACTATACTGCTGTCAATTGTTTTAGGACATCAGAGTGGGCCAGGTGAGGTGGGGCATGCATGTAATCCCAGTGGCTTCAGAGGCTGAGACAGGAGGATCAAGAGTTCAAAGCCAGCCTAGCAACTCAGCAAGGCCCTAAGGGACTCAATAAGACCTTATCTCTAAATAAATACAAAAAGGGCTGGGGATGTGGCTCATTGGTTAAGTGCCCTTGGGTTCAATCATTAGTACCCAAAAAAAAAAAAAAAAAAGACATCACAGTGTGTTCACAAAGATTCAAGGCCAGAATTTTTTTTTTAATATTTTTTTAGTTGTAGATGGACACAATACCTTTATTTATTTATTTATTTATTTTTATGTGGTGCTGAGAATCAAAACCCAGCCTCATATATGTGAGGCAAGCGCTCTGCCACTGAGCCACAATCCCAGCCCCAAGGCCAGAATTTTTAAAATTTATGTTAAAAAAAAAAAAAAAACATGTTAAGCCATGTATTTGGCGCTTTTTTTCCCCCTTAAATGCAAGATATATTTTAGAAGGGAAAAAAGGCCTTTTTCTGAAGAGCTCAGCTTTCCCCCAAACTTTATTGGTATTCTTTACACATATTAAACGTAGACTCGGTGAGGTAGCTTAGTGGTACTTAGAGAAGTTGTCTAACATGTTCCAGGCCCTGGGTTTAACCAAGCACAACCATTCCTCCAAAAAAAAAAGATGAAATTTAAGTGTAGGCCTCAACGAATTTTGAAAGTATATACAGTGCATAAACACCACATGCATCACTTCTTTCTACTATCCTCCCACACACCAAATATTCCCTCAAGGCTTTTTCACTCAATCCCCTCAAAAAACCTTACTTGTGAGCAATCTATACATTCTATAATTTCATGTAATTGAACTCAGGTAATACCTACTTTTGGGTCTGCTTCTTTAGAGAAGCAATGTTTTTGAGATTCACTCATGATCTTCTTTTTTTTTTAATATTTATTTTTCAATTGTAGTTGGACACCTTTATTTTATTTGTTTATTTATTTTTATGTGGTGCTGAGGATCAAACCCAGGGCCTCGAATGTGCTAGGCAAGCACTCTACTGTGGAGCCACAACCCCAGCCCCTCCCTCATGATCTTGCTGCGTATATCACCAATGGATGCTGAGTAGCATTTCAACTATACAGACATGCCACAATATCTGTTCATTTGTTTCCAATTTTTACAAATAAATTTGCTGAGAACATTATAATGTACTATCTATGTGAGCCCAAACTTTAATTTCTCTTAGGTAAATAACTAAGTGTGTAATGGTTGGATCAGGCAGTTAGTGTGTGCTTAATACACTGCTAAACTCTTTATTCTAAAGTGTTTAGGCCATTTTATATTCTTACGAGCAATGTATCATCACCAACACAGTGGTGGTCAGTCTAATTTTAGCTATTTCAGTGGACATGTCTTTCACCATGGAATGTGATATTCACTATAGACTTTTTTCCCTACATGTCTCTATCAGGCTAAAGAAATACCATCTTATTTCTACTGTGTTGAAAGCTTTTATCATGAATAAATGCTGCATTTTATGGAACGCCTTTTCTGTATGAGACAATCTTATGCATTTTTTAACAAATGAACTATACCTGGGTTTGAATGATAATCCAACTTCTTTTCAAAGAGAAACCCTATGATCATGATGTATGATCCTATATTTGAATTGCTAAGTATGATCTGATTATATTTTGTTAAGAACTTTTATGTCTGTTCAAGGGAAGTCCTAGTTTGGAGTTAATTTTCTTCTAATTTTTTTCTGGTTTTGGTATAGAAATACCACTAGTTTCATAGATGAATTGAGAAGTTTTCCTTCCTCTTCTACTTTCTGCATGTTTGTATAAAACTATTATTATTTGGTAGATTTCTACCATGAAAGCAATTATCCTGGATTTTTCTTCATGAGGCTTATAACTATAAACTCCAATTCCTATAATTCAGAGCTACTGAAATTATTTCTTCTTTACATAAAGAAAAATGAAACTGAAATATAAGATAATAATGTCTATTCAGGCTGCGATAACAAAATGCCATAAACTGGTGGCCTACAAATAACAAACATTTATTTCACACAGTTCCAGAGACTAGGAAGTACAAGATTAAGGCACTGGCTCTCTCCAGACTTTTCAACAAGAGCATTAATCCCATTCATAAGGGACCATGCCTCACCAAAGTTCCACCTATTAAGAGCAATGCTCTGTGGATTAGTTTCCACATACAAATTTTGAAGGCAAAAAAATCCCCAATCAGATCATAGTGAATCATAATAGCTATTAAAGCTATTGCTATTTCCAATAATGGGTGTCAACCCTTTTAAAATGCTTATTGTGTGCCAGGCACTATTCCACGTCCTTAACATTTATTATGATGCTTTATTCTTACAACACATCAAATGTAGGTATTACCATTATCTTATTTTAAACATAATTTAACTTAGGCTCAGAGAAATGAACTGATTTAACCCAAGTCAGAAAGTTGGTTGGTTACAGAACAGAAATGGGGTTCTTGATGGAGCCTGTTGTATTTTATATTTACTTTGATATATGAATATCATGCTATGTGTTTACATTGGGGAGGGGGATAAAAAGCATGAAAAGTATTCCCTGTCATCTCAGTTCTAATCAAGCATAACTTCTCAACAAAAGGAGACTTTAAAATTTGTTGACAACCAGGTAAGCCTGACTTGGTGAAACAGCCTTCTTTCTGGTTTCAGCATGGAGAAAAAGTTTCAAAGGTGAGGAGAATCAAGGAAGAGTTGATTTGAAAAGGCATGGCTACCATATTCTTCCTGGAGGGCTGACCCTACACACTATATCCTTTATCATGTCATAAACCACTCTACCTTTTACCTCACAATTTTGCCCAATTGAGGATACATGGGTGGTGAGAAGTAGTTGAAGGATACAGCATCATAGACTTAATGGTTAAAGAACTAAACAAACAACAAAAAATCACTGGGGTTTTCTGGCTATAAAAATGAAAATAAGTAAGGACTCACTTTAAAAGTATTTTGGCTTTTTATTTTTTAAGTACTTACACAACAGAGCATCTTCATTCTGACATTTTACTCCATGAATGACTCATCTTAGTTGAGCTTAATTTGCATTTAGATTTGAGAAAGGCATTATGAATGTGTTTCTTACTATTGTACTCTACCTCTAGTCTCTTGCTAAATTCTATATTCTGTTCTCTTTTTTCCCTTTTTTATTAGTTCTAATCACTTATACATGACAGTAGAAAGCTCTTCGATTCATTGTACATAAATGAAGCATTTTCCACTTCCCTGGTTGTACATGAAGTAGAGTCACACCATTCGTCCACCATATATCCTACTCCTTTTCCCTCACCCCCCGACCCCTGCTTTGCCCCATCCAAAGTTCCTCCACTCATCTCATACCCACCCCCCCATTATGGATTAGCATCCATTTATCAGAGAAAACATTCAGCACCTGTTTTTTTGGGATTGGCTTATTTTGCTTAGCATGATATTCTCCAACTCCATCCATTTACCTACAAATGCCATACTTTTTATTCTCTTTTAATGCTGAGTAATTATTCCATTGTATATATGTACCACAGTTTCTTTATTCAGTCATCTACTGAAGGGCATCTAGGTTGGTTACACAGTTTAGCTATTGTGAACTGTGCTGCTATAAATATTGAAGTGGCTGTGTCCCTGTAGTAGGCTGTTTTTAAATCCTTTGAGTATAGACCGAGGAGGGGGATAGCTGGGTCAAATAGTGTATACTCTTCATTTCACCAGGACTGTTAGATAGCTTACCTTATGCACTGCTTCTACTTGAGCCTTCAAAATGTTACTCTTGAAGTCAGGAGGAACTCTCATGGCATTCAATCCGGGGCTCTCAATGGCATTATTAAGGCATTTTTCAGTCAACTTCACCACTTCCTTCTAAATATTAAAAATCAAACTGTAATCAACCTCAACAGCTTATAATTATATGGAAATAGGAATAAGACTGACAAAAGTTCATATTCAGACAATTAAAAAATCATGCCTAGGCAGCTATCTCTAATTCCAGGTATAGTCAACTCCTGCAATCACCTACCTTCAGACAACTCCAGAAATCCTAGGATTAGCCTCTGGAGAATCTATCCTAAAATACAGCTGAAAGCAAATGTCACACATTCTCCACGTGTGGTTTAATTCAGGCATTTGTCCCAGAAGATACAGTTAAGTTACTTAAAGAAAGGGAATCGGGCCCAATAATTTCTTGAGGTTCCTACCTATTCATATTTCATGTTTGGAACTCTGGAACTATTACCAGGAAATTGGCCATGTCTGGGATTATATGTAACAAAGCCAGGAAAAAGTCACTCTCAGATACAGATTTATGAAAAATGTAGAATAAAACACAAATCTAGTCAATAAATACAATAATTCAAACAATTAAAATGAGCTATTATGAAAAGAAATAAATGAAAGGAAGCAGACTAATATGTTTAAAAGAAAAATTACCTGCACTACAATTGATATTTTGCCTAACTTAAACAGCAACCATTAACACAAGGCTAGTTGTCAGGTATAGAATTATATACTGTAGCATGCTTTCAAAGTTTGAAAAGACTCAATTAATGTGCTAATTCTAATTTGGTGTTTCTCAATGTGATCTCCCACATCTGCCTCTAGGTAGTAACACAAAATCTAAAATTATAACAAGCTGCCCCATGTGATTCTGATAAATATAAAGTCTGAAAATTATTTCCTTAGGCTAGCCTATGACTTCCTAGTCTTCAGAATGGTTCCTGTTAATTGAAACCATTATAGCTTTTTCAATCATGGCTCATTCAAATTGCTTTGACAGGTTTCTTTTTTTCCTGGAGAAAATAATGTTGCAGACTTGAGATTGCTTGTTAATCATTTTTATCTGCTCATTATAATATTCTACGAGCAATCTGCCTCAGACATATGCAGGTATTTCTTTTTCTGTCTATGTTAAAAATAAAACAAGAATTCAACACACATAACTAAATTCCTAAGAGTAAGAATTGTTACTATTTTTCTGGAAGTCAGTTTTGCCAAATCACTAAAGGCTTCAAAATTATGCTTATCCTTTAACTGACACTTTCAATTTCTGGGTATTATCCCAAAGACATAATCAAAGATGACTACAAATGCTTATTTAAAAGACTATCACAACATTTACCAAGACAGTAAAAATTAGGTGTCTAACAGAGGTTGGAGTAAACACATAAATGAGTATTCATGTGATTTAATTATTACCCATAATGTGACAACTTTTTAGTTTTAAAAAGCTATGTATTGGGCTAGGGTTGTGGCTCAATGGTAGAGCACTTCCCTGGCATGCATGAGACGCCAGGTTCATTCCCTAGAACCACATTTTTAGTTTTGAAATGCATACGTCATTTAAGTATTTTGGAAGTATTTGGCTTTAAAAATATTGCCATCTAGGGTTGTGGCTCAGAGGTAGAGTGCTCGCCTAGCATGTGAGAGGCACTGGGTTAGATACTTAGCGCCACATAAAAATAAAATAAAAGATACTGTGTCCACCTATAACTAAAAAATAAATATTAAAAAATATATATTGCCACCTACTAGTGGCACAATGGATGACTTCATATTTTCTATTCTTTTAAATCTATATTTTCTACAGTATCATGTATATATATAAAAGAAAAATAATTACTAAATATAAGCTGAGTATAATAGCTTTAAAACATTTTCACATTAATTTATTATAACCTATAAGTCCACTGGCACCCACTTACTATGCGGCTAACTCATCTGCCTTGGGGAGCCAAAATGTGGCAAAAAGAAAACCAAAAGAATTAAAAGGATACTCTGATTCCTAATACCCCAAATTAGATTCAATTTGAAATGAATTAAAAGGATACTCTGATTCCTAACACCTCAAATCAGATTCAATTTGAAATGAATGTGAAATTGAAACTCCACTATAGAGTAGTCTTGGCTATAAAAGTCTGCTTTGTTAGGCGTTCATGTAAGGAGTTGAAGTAGATTCAAAGTCTGCTTCAGTCCCAATCAGAATGACACCCACCATTCCCAAAAGGTCCAAGTGCCCTTGGAAAACAATTAATGTAAACAATAAAACAAAAGAAAAATGGTGCTTTCTTACACACCAAGGTCCTAATTCTGTGAGCTCTGCATTTAAATGCCTCAGAAATATTGAAATTACTAAAACTAAAAATATTAATACACATGCACTTCTTAAACATGTGAAATTCCTCAAAGTTCAAGAGATGCAAGTAGTTTTATTTTAAGATTGATAATGGTTAGTTTTTTTTAATTATGGGCCCCTTGGAGAGTTTGGAAAAAAATTTGGATCCGCTTTTCAGAAAAATGCACAAATTAATTAAAGACAGGGTATGTGAATTTCATGGGGCTTACGGACCCTACTTATAGTTAGGGATAAGCCCGTGGCCTTTGGGTTAAGAATGCTGCTTGAAAAAATTAGATGGGCTGGGATCGTGGCTCAGGGGTAAAGCACTTGCCTCACATGTGTAAGGCACTGGGTTCAATTCTCAGCATGGCATATAAATAAATGAATAAAATAAAGGTCCATCAACAACTAAAAAAATATTTTTAAAAAAGAAAAAATTAGATACAATTTACTTTTCTAAATATACACAGAGGTTTGAACCACATTTTATTATCTGTTTCTTTTCATTACGTTGTTTAATGTAAATGAAACTGGAAGAGTGCCTAAGACAAGACAAACTGAATGTGAACTTAACAGCATAACAGCCTGATAACAGCCAGAAACAAAAAAATGACTATTTTAAAATTATTAAACAGCTGGATTCTATCTATAACGTCTGTTACTTGGGAGGCTGAGACAGAAGATTTCAAGTTCAAGGCCAGCCTCAGAAGCTTAATGAGACCTTATCTCAAATAAAAAATATTAGGGGCATCCCTGGGTTCAATCCCCATACCAAAAAATAAAAATTATAAAACAAACAAGAAAATTAAAACAAAAAGTCATCATCTCTATTTACCAGTTAAGTGATTTGCACCAGCCCATTGATCCCTGGAAAAGTGTGAAATTCCTTTGTATGGGTGATATCTGAAGACTGCTTCCATTCCCCAAAGGGGAATCATACTTATCATCATGCCTTCTATGTACAAACTCCAGTGGAGAGAAAGAAAACTACTTTTTGCTTACATACTTTCTAGGTCTGAATAGAATGTAAATCAAAATAGTAAAAACAACAAAGTTGATCCCGGATAATGGCAATCTGCTACTAGATTACATTTGTAACAACTAAGAAAAAGGACCATTAAAGTACAACCCACAGGGCAAGTCTGGGCCACTGCAAGTAAAAATGACTGGAACAAGCAATGCTCATTCCTCTATGCTGCTTTCCTGCTGTAATAGGGGCAAAGATGAGTAGCTTGACAAAGACTACATGGTTGGCAAAGCCTAAAATATTTACTATCTGGCCCTTCTGGAAACAGCTTGATAATCTCTGGTTGCAAGAATACAGTCTTTATGCCTAGTTTTAATCTTTTATCCTAAAAAAGACTAGATGTTAAGGGTCATATACTTTAATTATGTCCACTGTCCTTGCTAATAAATGCAGTGTGGGTTTCATGACTTTAAGCATTCTTAAATTTTATTACTCATCATCAAAGAACAATAAAAAAATGATACGTAAAATAAAGTTTGGTGATAAAGTAACTGAAAAAGTCTATAGATCTCGACATAGCATAACAGAAGATGCAAAGCAAGAAAAAGCACAAAGACTGAATAAATACAGGAAAGAAGCACCAAGCATCTCAAAGTTTGAAGGAACAATCCATCAGTCCATTCAGTCACCAAAATAATCAAATTGGTTAATTTTTCATCTCAACCTGAGGAATCTCCCTTGCTAAATAAAGAACTTGCTACTTCCTGAGTTAACATATTCAATATGCTACCAAAAAATGTAACTAGTAGGAAACACTTCCTTACTTCAAGGCAAGGTCAACATACCTGTAATATACACATCTTTTCTCTGAGGCTATTAAAAAATAAGATACATTATGGGGCTGGGGTTATAGTTCAGTGGCAGAGCACTTGCCTAGCATGAATGAGACACTGGGTTTGATTCTCAGAACCATATATAAATAAATAAAAATAAGTAAAAAATAAAGGTGTCCATCTACAAATAAAAAAAAATTAAAAGATGCATTGATTCCTCTTTCATATAACAGCTCTTCAGATATCTAAAGACAGTTGAAGTACTCTTTTTTGAGATTTCTACTTGGTGATTCTCAAGTTTACAATGTCCAGTTATAATTTAGTTTCGAGACCCTTTACCATATAGATGCTCTTTCTCAAACTGCTTTAGTTTTCCCAAATCATTTTCAAGAATGGTATCCATAAATGAATAAAATATTATGGTTTGACCTCCTTTTAAAAACTCTTTTAATTAATACAACACAGCTGTTTTGCAGCTGATTCACACTGCAGTTATATATTCTTTAAAAAAATTTTTTTTACACACGCTCCTATTATATTCTAGTCCCCTACCCTAACTCTGTACTTGTGAAGACTTGACATATTTTCTTAAATTCAGTCCATCATTCTAGCCTATCAAAGTATTCATGAATCTTGATTTGGCCTTTCAAAACTGTACTTCCCTAATGTTATCATCTGAAAATCCCATTAGCTTAAGAGATCTGGGATAAGAAGTGATCAACAGAGATGGTCATTTGCAATATGAACTTCTCTGGGGCTTGGTGGCATAGGCCTGAGGGCCAGGACCTTGTTTTTCCTCTGTGAACTTCACATGATATTTTTTCTATCATACAGAAAGTAAACAATAAACACATCGGTAGAACTGAATCAACAGTATATTTGAAACAAAACAAAACAAAAACCCCTCAGGTGCCTGAATCAATTCTGTGTAATGCAGGTCTCCTTGTGGCGTGAGAACTTTCTCATAATGGGTTCTCATATAACAATGGTCAACTGTCATTTGACAAGATTGTGTGGCTGCTTCAGACCTCTGCAGATGCACTATTCTCACAGCTGGTTATTCAACCACTAATATTTTGCTTCAGAATAACATTATATTTAGAGTAGATTTTCTTTTGAAATTAGTTAGCAAGATTGATATTAAAATTAGTTTGTATTCCTTAGGCAAATATCACTGATTGCTGGTAGAGGTAGAGAAATCAGCCCAAATTAAAAATGTGCCAGGTTAATACAAAATGAACTTTTTTACACTACTCTGATTGACTAGAGTTAAGATACAATACTTAATTCTCCTTCTAGTCTCACCTGACATGGAATAAGCCCTCACTAAATAGCTGTCTTTTCTTGGCTATGTCATCCCCAAAATGTTGCTGGATGGCACAATGTCCTTCACTCTGCCCTCCTCTCTACCCTTCCCTCGCTATCCTAAAAACCCATACTCCTTCCTCATTTTTTCAAGGCTTCAAGATTAACCTAACAGATCCTCTGCCTCAGAGACTCAGTGTGAATTTTATAAAAGAAACAAGTAACTATTCAACAGATTTCCACAACTTCCCTTCTAAAGTAGCTCAAGTTTCTCCTTTTTCCTTCCTGCAGTGGTTCACCAGGTTTTATTTTTCTTCAGGTTCATTCCAGTACTCAACTAATGTCAAATTAATGATTAATCACCTAAAGTTTTCAATTTACTCTTCGTTTCTGACCCTGAATTACCTGCCTTACAAAGACAGTAAGCAAAATGACACTGTGAAAACAGACAAATGCAACAGAAAAATACTGAAGGGTCAAGAAAAATGGAAAGCCTGTCTGAGATTCAATCAGCTTCTAAAAGATATTTCTAAAAAAGAAAATTTTTAAAAATAAATAGTAATAATGAAAAAAAAAAAGAGTTGGATCCAGAAGGACAGTTATAATAATGCAAGAAAGAAGAAAGTTACTGTCTACTCTACTAGTCTCTGAAGAAATTCTATGCAGTTATCCAAGGTTGACAGAATACTACAAAACAGCTATTCCCTCTTTAAAACAAAGAGAAATCAAGTCATCTTGACCTTGTTATTGGTTGTCTATAAAGAGAAAAAAAAAATGAATTAAAATTTGTTATTTTATTTCAGAGGAACATGTGGTAACAGATATGATTTAATTATAAAATTTCTATCTCATCCACTTTATTTTAGTTGTTCCTGTAAGTTATATAATATAGAAATAAGAAAAATTTAAATTATACACAATTAACTAAAGTTTGATATAACTGGTATGCATCTTTTTATCCCACACCAAAAAAACACCCAAAAAACTCACAGGATGGAGGGGGATGAAAGTTGAAGTTAAAGCATCTAAAATTTTATTTTCTTCCTGGTTTACACCATAAAGCATCTCTCTTTTTTAAAACAAAACCCTTCTATAATTTCAAAAGGTTTTTAGCAAGTACTTCAACTAGATGGGCTGGGATGAATCAAAATTAAAGGTTTAATAGCAATAATGCTTTCTGAGTTTAAAAAACAATCATGAGCCAGGCATTGTGGCACATGCCAACTTGGAAGGTTGAGGCAGGATTGCAAGTTCAAGGCTAGCCTTGGAGACTTAGTAAAACCCTGACTCAAAAAATAAAGAGGTCTGGTGATGGAGATGTAAGTCAATGGTAGAGCACTCCTAAGTTCAATCCTCAGTACAAAAAAAGAAAAAGAAAAATCATGAGATGACCTTATAATTCTTAATGTTGCTATACAACTTTCCTCCTTCCCTCTCAAACATCCATCTTCCATCTTTTTTTTTTTTTTTTAATGAGAAAACAGGCTTATAATACTCAGCACAGATTTTCCAGCAAAAGAAAAGTATTCTCTTTTAAAAGAAAAGACTTCTAGGAGCTCTGGAAATGTGAAACAGGTAGACACAGAGAAGACTTAAATACCTGGCTGTTGACATTAATATCAATGTTTGATTGAGGAGGCAGCAAAGGACTGTTTTCCATCTCAAATTGCTTGAGCTTCTCTGAGGCATCTTTCAATGCTGAAAAAAATCGCAAAATAATAGTCTGTCAGTCTATCAAGCTGTCATAACTACGTGGGGACACAAATTTAAGTTTTATTTTCCTCAGCACCAATAACCATCACTTAAAAGAAATAATACAAATGAACAGGAAAAAATATATATTTTCTTTCCATGACCAGGTAACTCTCCATTACCTTGAGAGTTAATCCCAAATAGCAATCCTAAATACATTGTCCTATGTTTACATCACTCCTAAAAAGCAACTGTATATGGATTCTCAATAGCATGTGTGCTAAAGGTTTAACAGCCAAGAGATTTAAAGGGCAGAACACTTTTGACATGGTCCTTTTCTTCATTAACCTCAACTCAAAATGCATGTCTAACCTTAGTATACACTGCCGTCTCCATTCCTGGTCTTCACTATATCCCATCTAAAATTAAGTTTCTCTTGAGATCAGGGATAGAGTGCTCGACTCGCACGTGCGAGACCCTGAGTTCAATCTTCAGCACCACATAAAAATAAATAAGTGAAAATAAAAGTATTGTTTACAACTACAACTAAAAAATAAATATTAAAAAAAATAAGTTTCCCTGGAGCAAACTGGTGAAAGGACATAATTATTCATTCATTAATCCAACATAATATATATTGGTACTATCAAGTGTGTATAAGGGTTGGGGATTTCACTCAATGGTTGAACACTTGCCTAGCATGCTGCAAGGTTCTGGGTTCAATCCCCAGTACCTCAAGGGAAAAAAAAAATTGACTGCTATAGGTGTGTGTGATGCAGGACAAGCATTTTGTCCTCATAATGTTCTTCCTAGCTGCAAAATATTATAAATAAAGTCCTTTAACTACTGAAAATAATACATTAAAAACACAATTCATATTTAAATAAGTTATATTTAAATTACTCACTGTAATAATTTTATATGGCAGAGATTAATTTACATTAGTTATTTTGGTAATTTTTTGTCACTTGGCAGAAAAATTATTGAATGCCTAACAAATTCTATGTAATGAGGTAGAAGGAAGAAGAAGAAAACTGAAATCATGTCCTTGGATCACAGGGATCTTCTAAAAGCACTGATCAATTAACCCAGTAGATTCTCTTGCTGGCTGCACAGAGTCTGATGGAGAACCTTCAAGAAATACTGATTCTCAGGGATCACCCTACAATAATTATATGAGAATTTCTGGAGTTAAGATTCTGGCACTGAAAGTTTTAAAAACTTTCCAAGTGATTTTAATGTACAACTAAAGTTGAAAGTCACAAATTCAACACTGGTCTTCTCAAAATCTTCCCTACCCATTTACTTAATTGCCATCTTTGGTTTTGTATATTATTCAAGTTCCCTGATGCTGAATTTTAACGTGATTCTGATACTATGAACTCTTTAGCATATACTGTTAAATTACTATCTGTAACTAGTAACCTATGTGAATCAAGATTTTAACATTATAACAAAAATACAGAATAAACTGGATACCAAGATGAGAAGGCCTTAACTTTTAACATATAATACACTATTCTCACTGACTTATGCAAATGTTATAAATCTCAACTGAGTAAGTTATATTAATGAAACCCTTATACTATGGAAGAATTGCTTGTACCACCACCTCAACAGCATTCTAGCTCTACTTGAATACCTTCTATAATGAGGAACCTCTTAGGTATGTATCTATTTGTAGTATATGGCAGAAATAGTTTAAAAAAATTAATCCCTATAATGATACAGAATTTGCTCCCCTATACTTGCAAATTGCTCATCTAGGATTCACCAGTAAAGCACCATAAAATAAATTCTTTGATATACCAGACATTCAAAATGTTTGGAGAATTATCATCTCATTCAATCTTTTCTTTTCTAGGCATCTCTACTTCATTATGCCATGTTGCCCTAACCTAATACTATCTGCTAATACTGTGTACTAAATAAATGTTTGCTAATACTACTTTATTGCATCACTGAAGAAATTAAATGTTTTGAATTCATATGGACTTAAAATGGAATATAAATGAAATCAACATTGCCATCCCTATGAAAGAGAATTTTTAACCCTGAAAGCACTTTGCATCGAGCTATTCCTGCCTCTACCTGAATCTAAATCCCGGTGGCTTTCATTTGTATGTCTAACATCTTTGAAGTGAAAAAGAACAAGCACTTCTAAGAAGAGGTGGATTTAAAAATAGGGCTATCCAAACTGGACTAACCAAGAGAGACAGAAACAGTAAAAGACTTCTTGATAAATAGTAAAAGGACATTTTCTTAATCCAGTAACTCACTACCTTCAAAAAAAAAAAAAAAAAGTCAAATCACTTTATTCTAAAATTGCCAATATAATAAATCAAAGTTAATTCTTGTTGCCCTGACTGCTGAATGATTAAACACAACATTTTAAACATGGTAGATGTCAATAAAAATAACCATCATGATATACCCAAGACATTTGTTTAACCAGTGTATTTGTAGTAGTTATTTAGGAAATAAAAGAACATATTATAACCCACTTACAGAAGTATTTCAGAGTGTTCTACTAAGCAGAAGAAGCACTGCGTGATTTTCCACTAACACTTTTTATTTCTAAATTACTAAATGCTATTGCTCTACCCTAAAGTCTTTAGAGACAACAGAATACTCACTGGCAATTTTCTGTGAGTTGTTTAAAGATAGCGTCTAATTTTAGCCTATGATAGAATCAGAATTGGCGAGAGCCATGTAAATACAAGCTGCTTTAAAATGAACATGCATTACACTGAGATTCAATAGGAACTTCTGTTTAGAAACATTTTATGCTTTACTATCAAACCAAACTCTCAAATATATAGACATCTTCAATGAGCAATTTACTTTCTCCTTTTAACCTTTGAAAATTTTAAGGAAAGCAGCATTTGTTATGTATTATTTTTTAAATACTTTTTAGTTGTTGATGTACCTTTATTTTTTATTTATTTATATGTGGTGCTGAGGATGGAACCCAATGCCTCACACATGCTAGGCAAGTGCCCTGCCACTAAGCCACGATCCCAGCCCCTGTATTATTTCTTTTTATGGGACTAGACATTAATAACCCTCATTAACACACACACACACACACACACACACACACAACTTTCTAGGAGCTAATGAATCATTCAAACATTCATTCAATTCTGTCCCCTAGGAGATCTTTAAGAAAAATTTTTTTTTGCTACTTAATTTGTACTCAAGAAACAAAGTAAAACTAAGAATGAGAACTCAAATGTTTAATTATTCAAAAATGATGCATATGTTTAATGGTCTTAATTACATTATCTTAAATATTTCAATGCTCTAAAGTCAAAAAAGGCAGGGAATCATAACTAATGTTACTTAAATTTAAAAGCTCAACTATTACATGTAATATTCTTATAGTTAATGTAATATTCTTAGAGGAAGTGATTTAAATATCTCATTTCAAAGGGAGATAAAAGTACTACTGATATATTACAGAATATTTACTTACTCTCACATTCAGCTTCAGGTTCCTCTAATCCAGTTTGCATAGTGGCTATGTTAATGTCATCCAGTGCTAGGGATGTTTCCATGGTATCTGATGCCCTAGTTACATCACCAATGGCTGTTTCCAGTAAGTCTGGGCTATCTAGCAAATCAATACTCAGAGGCAAGCTGCAAAAGGCAATATAAAACTTACTTAGACCAATAAATTTATAAGAAAATGAATTTAAAATACTAACAAAAATCAATGTTAAGGAAAGATTCATTAAAGAATTTTATCAAACTGGCTTTATTCATATCTTAAATTTCTTTGGGAAGATTTCTAGCCAAGACGGAGCAAAAGGGACTGGGTTAGCCTCCCACCCTTAGGAGAAACTGAAATCAGGAGGGGAAAAATAACAACAACTATTTTCAAGACACTAAACATCAGGCAACAAAAGAATGACTCTGAGATTCAGAAAACATGTAAGGTGAGCCTTAAGAAAATTTTCAGGCTATGGTGCAGACAGGGAAGTGAGGCAGAGCACCCAACACTCCTTAGCTGAGAAGATGGGACTGAGAGTCTAGAAGACAAGTCACACAGATGTTATAGGACAGAATGCCAAAGGAAAAAGTAGTGCAAAGAGACGGCGCTAGAGACAGGTAAAGGGTCCACTTCAAAGTATTCAGCACATGTGTGAGAAAACTCCCCAAGGCCTGGAAAGGAACTTCTTCCACGCATTAGGTGGAATTTGTGGCACTCACATTTCCACGGAGCTGTGAAAACATGTAATTCACAGAGCACTCTCTCCTCTGTAGTAGAAATATTAACCCAGACAAGCACTGCAACAAACTCACCAAAATAAATATAAGTGAGAACTGGAAGGGTCAAACTTTTCAAGTACCTCAACCACATCTCAAAACAAACCTCAAGATGATTTAGAAAAATATCAAAATATGTAGCAGCCAATAAAATAAAATGCATAATATCAGGCTTCCACTCAAAGATTACCAAGAATTCAAAGAGGCAGAAAAAGGATGTCCTCAATCAATTAAGGGCATTTACCCAGAAACAAAACACAAAGCAAAACTCCACAAACAAGCCAAATAAACCAAAACCTAACATCACAGTTAATGATATAAGACAAATTCTGCTGGGCGCAGTGGCCCTCATCTGTAATCCCAGCTGCTCGGGAGGCTGAGGCACTAAACAACTCAGTGAGATCCTGTCCCTAAATAAAATACAAAACAGGGCTGGAAATGTGGCTCAGTGGTTGAGTGCCCCTGAGTTCAATCCCCGGTAGCCCCCCAAAAAGAAAGACAAATGCTTTCTCTCATAAGAAGTAAGTTCACTTTTGTCATTTTAAGTCAACTTTGTACTAGAGGTTCTAATAGTGCAAAAAAGGGGGTGGGGGGAGAAAATGTACATCAAAGGTATTCAGAGTAAAAAGGGAAAACACAGATAAATGTACAAGGCTTGTACACTGAAAACTAACAAATTAAAGGAAATCTAAGTAAAAAGAAGGACATTTGACATGCATGGAAACACTTAATGTTGTCAAGATGGCAGTTTTCCCCTAACTGATCTGTATATTCGATACATTATCAAAATTCCAGCAGATTTTTTTTTTGTAAAATTCAGTCAATCCTAAAATTCATATGTAAATTAAAAGGAGCTAGAATAGCCAAAACAACTTCAAAAAAGAATAAAATTTAAGAATGTACATTATCCAATTTCAAAACTCTCTAGACAGCAAACAGTATTCAAGATTTTGTGGGATTGGCATGAAGATAGGCAGGTAAATCAACAGACCAGATTGAGAGTACAGATTTTCTTCTATTTATAGCTGACTTTGGCAAGATAAATCAGTGGGAGAAAAGATAAGTCTTTTCAACAAATTGTGCCAGGACAATCAAAATGCAAAAATTTTGAATTTTAACTCTACTTCACACTATTCACAAAAATTAAATCAAAATGGACAAGAAACCTAAGTCCCTATTTAAGAGCTAAAATTAAAACTTTAGAATAAACCATACAGGAGAAAAAAATCTTTATGGCCATCATTGGGTATAATATCCCAGATATAACACCAAAGGTCTGATCCACAAAAGAAAAATTTCATACATTGGAGTTTATCATATATAAAAACGTTTGAGCTTCAGAAAGCCATGTGTGAAAATGAATAGAAACTACAGATTAGGAGAAAAGTTTTGAAAATCATGTATCTGAGAAGGAGCTTGTATCTAAAACATACAAAGAACTCTTAAAAAATAAGACAACCCATATAAAAATTGCCAAAATGTCTGAACAAACACTTCTCCAGAAAAAAATATTCAAATAGTTAATACTCAACATTATTTTCCCTCAGGAAAATATGAATCAAAACCACAATATGCCCACTTTAATGGTTACAAAACAAAAAGACATTAAGTGTTGGCGAGGATGTGGAAATGAGGTAACCCTCATGCATTTCCACTCTGGGAAACAGTTTGTCCATTTCCTGAAAAATTAATAACAAATTTACAATACAGCCCATCAATTTTCCTCCTAGAATTTTGTCCAAGAGATATAACTTATATCAATGCAAAAACACGTGCACAGCCAGGCTCAATGGCACATGTCTATAATCCCAGCTCCTCAGGAGGCTTAGGCAGAACTACAAGTTGGAGGCCAGCCTTGGCAACTGAGATCCCATCTCACATTAAAGGGGACTGGGAATGTAGCTCAAAATAGGGTGGGGATGTGGCTCAGTGGTTGAGTGGCCCTGAGTTCAATCCCGGTACTCTAAAATAAATAAATAAATAATAAATTCTAAATTTAGAAATCTATTAGCCAATATAATCTATGTTAACACATTTTTTTCCCCTTGGTGTATGGGCAGGGGGTACTGGGGATCAAAATCAGGGACTCACACAAGCTAGGCAGGTACTTTACCACTGAGCCAAATTCCCATTCCTGACAAATTTTTTGTTTTTGATGGATATCACTATGTTGCCAAGACTGGCCTCATACTTGAGATCCTAGTGCCTCAACCTTCTAAGTAGGTGGAGTTTATAGGCATGTATCACCTGGCTCTATCACAGATGGGATCTCTGTGATCAGTTGTATAATTTTCAACAAGTTACTTTACCTTGTTCTCAAAATGTGTAAAGGTAGAGGTAGGGAAGTGGGTGGTGGTAGAGTTTTGGTCTCCCTACACTGGTTTCTTTCATATGCTTTTACTTGAATTTGTGACGTACATTTAATCCACAAGATTTCTTGGCTAAAACATTTAGAAACCATTGGAGTAAAGGTACTCCTGACACATTCCATCTTTAACACTATAAAAATTTATTCATGTAAAACCAGCTCATTAGTTCACTCTTCATTCCATCTCCTACTGGTCCAACTGTTATCCACACTAAATATGAATCAGGTCACAGGTGTTAGTAGTGATGGAGAGAGGAGATCAAACAGATGACAGGGTACTGAATTTGTTAAAGTGGAACAATGAGCATATATTAGTGTTCATTGTATGTTCTAACTGATCTATTTTTTACATTTTCAACATTTTAAAAAACAGAGATACCAATATTTTGGACAAAAGGATGTGAGAACTGGAAGGAGGTCATCTCCTGTGGACCTAATGTGGACACATGACAGAAAAAAAATTTTTTTTAAATTACATATCTTACTAAAAAATAAGACAAAAATTTTATAAATCAGAAAGTAAATGAAAAATATAAAAACAGTGTATGGGTTAAATCGTAGCCCCAGTTGAAAATTCAAATGGTTAAGTTCTAACTCCTAATACCTCAAAATATGGCCTTATTTGATGGGCTCGCTAACAAACATAATTAGCTAAGTTGATAAGTTCATTCTAGAGTGGGATACAGTGTGGGATACATTTCTCACACAGAGAAATGCCATGTGAAGATGAAGGCAGAAGTTGGGATGAAGCATCTACAAGCCAAGAGACACCAAAGATTGCCAGTAAACCACAAGAAACTAGGCAAGAGGCATGGAACAGATTCTTTCTGACAGCCCTCAGAAGAAGCAACCCTACTAACACCTTGATCTCAAACTTACAACTTTTTAAAATGTGAAAAGAAAATTTTGTTAAGTGACCCAGTTTGTGGACCCTGTTCACAGCAGTCCTACCAAACGAATATATCCCTCATTCTAAAGATCAGAGCCTACTGAGAGAACCTGAAAGTACACATCATTCAAGTCATAAGAAATCCCAAAAAAGACATTCTGCAAGGAAATTCAAAGGGCTAGAGGGTACTTTGACTTTTCTCCTCCACTTTACAAGGAGAGTGGGACCTTGTAAAATCATATCAAGTAAACAGAGGCTCCAAGGAGAATGGCATCTCTGTGGTGGTGAAATGCCAAGCACCAGAAACTCCTAGGTCTATGTTGGGTGGTAGAGAGAGAGTTCTAATGAAAATCTCATGCCTGAATCTGCAAGTTTGGGTGCATATTTAAATATACTTCCCATGTAGTGAAGTGCTTCCTTCAGGACAGTGGTCCAAACCAGTAAGTTGAATGGAACCAACCTGAAGAAAAGACAAGTTGGACAAGCTGCATTCTCAATGCTTGGCATAGCAAAGATTGCACAGGCCAAGTGGCACAAAGAATAAAAACAGGAGTAAATGATAATGCATTGCAGAAAAAAATCTATAAATGTAATTAATGCTGTTAGCAAATTATTTCTTTTAAAGGTTAGGAGAAAGAAAAGCTCTTTTGGACATTAGAAAAGCAACTCATATATTTAAGAAGACAGAATTAGAAAATCACCATATTACAATAGTGAATTAATAATAACGGATTCAAGGGGCTGGGGTTGTAGCTCAGTGGTAGAGTACTCGCTTAGCACCCGCAAGATGCTGGGTTCGATCTTCAGCACCACATAAAATAAATGAATAAAATAAAGGTACTGTGTCCAACTACGACAAAAAAAAATTAAAAAAAATAATGGATTCAAGGCAAAAATCATCAGTGAGTACTAAAAACAGGATCAAAGATTTGGGAGGAATGGGAAAACCACTCAGTATCAAAATGACACTCCACAGATTACAAAGGGGAAAAGTACTTTTACAGGGAAGTCTGGTGAATATCATCTTTAAAAAAAAAATGTCCAACCTTAACCTAATCATGAGAAATCAGACAAATCTGTTGAGAGATATCTTGCAAAAGAATTGGCAAAGGC